AGTTGGATATACAGAATTAATTATCAAGTGTGACATGTTTTTAAATTGTTTGTTATTTGAAAGAGTAGCCGGGCCTATTATGTTACTGAATTATGTACCTACGCAGTTACATAACCCACATAGAGGAGAGCGGATCACAACCTCTCTTCTGTATATATATATATATAGAAACACATGGGGTGGGGAAAGGATTTGTAAAAGAGAGTGGAAGAGGGATTCTTTACTTTTCTGTATATAGGACTTAGTAGCGAGACTCATATAGTTAAAAGATCATGGCATCGATCGTGGGAAACAAAATTTTCTGTATGTATTAATTTTAGATCTGTTTTTGAGGAAAATTACTTAAACTTCCGGATAAGTTGATGTCTGTTGCTTACTGTACATGACTTTTTTTTTCTACTTAATGCATAGTGACTATCTCTTTTTTAGTATTAATCTTTTTTTATCGAGCAGTGTACTATTTTCCAGTATCTGCTTTTCCGAACTGTTGAATTTATACCGATGCTGAAATGCGTTCTCTATACACTGTATATGTATAACATTTGTTTCCAATCGAGCCACACACAAACCGGTTCTACAAAGAAAAGATTAAATATATGCAGACAGATGAGATTTAAGTTTCGGTGGTAATGATTCTTTTATAGCGAATCAGTTTAGTAGGTCCCGAGGAAATGGTATTGTTTTATAAAACAGTCAGTGAACTCGTTTTTTCGAGCAACAAAATTTTTTTAGCTGAATTTTTAAGAATCAACAACTGATGTTAAAAAAGCAGCAACTGTTTCTTCTACAATCGCATAATCCGTTATGGATTTCTAAAATTATAGATGATATTTAAGAATTATTTACTGTTTCAATGGTTTGTTACTTTCTTACTACAACTATTGAAACAGTAAACAAATTTTGATTTTGAAAATAAAATCTTATTTTTAGACAACTGTTCTATTTTTTGAAGAAAAGTTTTTGTTCCCAATAACCCTGAACTATGAAATAAACCTTTTTAAAGTGTGTTAATTTTGAAAAAAAAATCAAAGCAGTGTTCTAAATTTATTTCCCTATAGCATGTTTAAATGATGCTGACAAGTTTCGTCAGATTGACACCCTAGATTCCTCTGCATGGAGAAATGCGGTTGAATTTGATATTAATTAGAAAAGATTTCTCTTTGGATTTGTTTGTGCTTGCAAATGGTGAATTAGAAGGTCGAATTAGATGATCTCTGAATGGTTTAAAACTTCCGCGCGACAGAAATGTGTGTCATGAGTTTCCCACGATTGATATGGCGGCCATACCAGCGAAATGTCTATAGATTATAATAAAGGAGAAGGTCTTTGCAATTATTATATATCCACCTTTGATTTCTTACGATGCGAAATATTCTACTCAGATAAACATAGGGCCGTAATAAGAAAGGGTCCCGAACGATATAATTGTATAGAGATTCCCTACGGACTTTATCAATGAAATGCGCACCTCAAGATGATGATATACTTTATCTTCGTTCAATTCTCTTATTCTTTATCGATTTTTTTTTCTTCTTCTGTTTCTTTTGTTTCCTTTTTTCTATTTCGTTTGGATTATTTAATGAATCAAGAAAGATGAAAAAAAGTTTCTTATGCGGAAAAGTGAATGTAGGAGGATTAGGTTTTCTTTTTTCTAGGTGGTAGGTCACTGTACCGAGGAAAGTTAAAGGTGATCTCCTGGATCGTGGCATCAGTCGAACAAAGAAGTTCCACCTTCAAGATTCTCGTTTATGTCTCCCTTCTTTTGGATCTTCTTCCTTTCTCCTCGACTGCTTTTTAGAACTTGGGGGTTGGGAGGGGGGAGTGCACTCTTTGGTATCAGAAAGGCGAACCTTTGCCATTACCACTCGAAACCCCCTACAAGAAAGAGAGAGAGAAAGAGAGCGCCCTTTTGTTGTTCATTCATCTTGTTTGCTCAAGTATGACGGGTATTTTATCCTAACATTTTCTTAAAAAAAAAAAAAAATTTCAACATTCAAAATTTTAAATAATTTTGATAAATATTTAATATAAAAAAATTGATAATTAGCAAAAAAATCCTTTTCTAAATATTTAATGTATTTTGTAATTAGCAGAAAAAAAGAAGTAGAAAGAAAAGTATTTTTTTTATTTTACTTACATGATAAATGGTTTATTGTCTAGATTTGCGCATATATAAACTTAGCGGAGTTTTTAAAGTATATTTAAGAGAAGAAGAAAAAAAGTCATATTTACAAAGAGAGATCGAGACAGAGACAAAAGTTGAAGAAAAACGTCTTCTTGTGTTTCACATTATTCTTTTGCTAAATATATACGCACGCGATGAATTCTCACGATCATGTAATACTATATTTAGCTGTTTATATTGTATTTATATATTGTATATAATAATAGTTAAATGTTGCTGGTAATTTATGAGTTTCGTGATATGAATTTTTGTTGTTTTTAGAAATTTTGCTTATGCAACAATCCAAAAGGAGAAAGTAAATTATACTTTTTTAGGCTAAAAAAAAAGTTTATAACATAATATAGAAAAAAAAGGGTGTAAATTTTGCAAAAATTTCATTCGAGCGTTGAATTTTAAATCCTCTATATAATAGAGACAGGAAACTCGAGCTTCCTGGTCGTTGACCGATAGTCCTCATGGCTTCCGTCGAAGAAACGTGAGATCCTGACGCTATCGACAAAAAAAAAAAAAAAGAAATCGCATTTAATCGGGATTTACACGGACCTTGTCGATTGTTTCCGTTTACTCTTTCTCAAGGATCAAGAATTTTTTAGTCCTTTCAATTTTTTTGTTTAATTTCGCAATAGCGATAAAAACTATTCATTATTTTAAAATTTTTGGATAAATAACTTTTTTCTATTCTTTTATAGTAAAAATCGTTTGAATTTTATTAAAAAAATTTTTTTGACTTTTGAATCGTTGTTTTTTGAGGGGAGTAGAACGAAGCACGTGGCAATGTTTGGCGTGCACGTGTGTATATATATCGAAAGTTGTGGTGTGTCTATACTTAGGACTGAGAAAATTATTTTCGAGTTGGAGTCGAGACAGCGCGAACAGCAGCAGCAGACTCTTGTGATCTTTCAGGCGCAATGTTTATTGGCTCATTCGTAATACTTCACCAGCGACTTTAAAACCGTGGGAATTCTTATGACGTATACCGTTGGAAACTTACTTTTTTTTTCGCTTTGTTATGCTTGCGATTATATAGCGAAGAAAACCGTGACCTCCCGTGAACGATCAACTTTATTTGCCTCGTGATTTTATTCATTTAGATACAAATATTTGTCATCAAAAAAAGTACGATTTTATTAAAATATCTTTTTTTCTAATTTTTTTGTTTCTATTTTGCTTCTGAGAAAAACTTTCATTTGAAGACTCACAAGATGATTGTAATTATCAGCTCGTGCCGGTTTTTCCTCTTTTTTTTTTTTTGTTTGTTCAGGGAACGTGAGTTGTCAACTTCCTTTATATAGTGATTCATGAAGGTGAGGCACGCGCGAATATGACGAATACGAGGAAAAATATAGAGGAATTAGAAATTAAAATGTTTTCTTTATTTTTTGTGTTTTTATTTAATACTGGTTTTCTATGCGATTCTAATGCAAGTACCAAGAGCGTGAGAATCGATGGAAAATATACAGTTCAACCGAGGTACTTCGTGACTCTCTAATCGAGAATTTATGCACCACAACGATCATCATTAGCCGATTAATTACTGTCACTATGTTGAAATTAAAAAAAAAAAAAATCATCAAAAAAAAAGTAAAATAAAATAAACAAACGAAATTTATAAATAAAATAATAAAATAAACAAACGAAATTTATAAATAAAATAAAAAAATAAACAAACGAAATTTATAAATAAAATAAAAAAATAAACAAACGAAATTTATAAATAAAATAAAAAAATATTCAAAAAAAAAGAAATGTAAAAATAAATTGAGAAAGAATTGGGTAATGATTCACGTGAAATTAAAGAGATGGGGGATTTCTCGAATCCGTTTATATAAATAAATGGAAATTTCATTTTATTATTCCTCTTTTTGGTAATTGTCGGTTTTTGAAGAGCGAAACTTGCCAAGTGTATCGACTTAATTTTCACTCATTGTTATCGGTGGTTTTTTTTTTAAAGCATCCTGTATATGCGAAAGGAAGCCCTGTTGCCTTGGGCCTTCCTTGTGCTGAGCGAACCGGTTTTAAACTTCCGGCAAAAATACGTGTGGTTTCCGGTGTAAATATATATATACATATATATATATCGGATCTACGGTCCGTTTACCTATATCAATATTCACACTTGATCTCATGTCAGTGTGAATCTTGTCCTCCGATCAATAACATCTTCTTTTATTCAAATTCAAAAATTTCAAAACACAGTGAAAAAGTGTTTTTTTTTTAATTTACTTTTTCCATATAAAAATAATTAATTGGATTTTCTTTGAGAATATTCTTTTTGTGAGGTGAGAGGACAAGGGGGGAAATTTTTTTTTTTATCATCGAGCCCTGACATCGGGGGATAAATTTAATATACACTTCCCTCACGACGTCGTTATGAAATACCAGAGCGGAAATACCCGGTGCATTCTCCAAGGTGCTTTGCATTCGAAATACTTTTCACATAGAGCGAATATTCCCATTCCAAGAGAGAGAGAGAGAGAGAGAGAGAGAGAGAGAGAGAGAGAGAAAAAAAAAAAGGCTTTAAACCCCTATTTTCTCTTTGTTCTCTCCCAGTACTTGTGAATCGGAATTTCAATTTTTTTTTTATTCAAATTTTTGTCTAAAAAAGAACGTTATTTAATTTAATTATTAATGGATTTTAAAAAATTAATTTTTTTACTGTGTTAAATTTAAATTTTAATAAATAGTAGAGGAAATATTAGAAAAAATAAATGAGATCTTGTTATTTCAATAATAAATTGAATCGATTTAATAAATGAATAGAAAATGTGTTTTTTTTTTGTGATGAATACTAATGAGTGCGTATTTTATGTTACAGCTCCTAGATCATCGAGTGCAGGTACCAATAACCTGCCGCCCCTGACGTTCCATCAGGTACATGGTGATAACATTAGATTGTGGAATGGCGGTACTGTCGCCAGAAGGCATGAGAGCTTTTGCAAAGGTGTCACCTTCAGCGCGAGGCCAGTGCGAATCGGCGAGAAGGTAAAATTACATTTTCTAATCAATCGTAATTAATTACCCTTAATGAATTAACAATAATTACGAAAAATCAAATTTTTTATTTAATTTTTTAAATTTATTATTATTTTTTCATTATTACTATTTTATTATTATTATAATATTATTACTGTAATTATATAACCGGGAATCGAACCCCCGATACTTTTCCCACCGAGTCAGATTCTTTACCTCTGCTCCAAAAGCATTATCGTTTTTCTTTTTTCAAATTCTTTGTTTCCTCTATAGCAGTTAATTAATTATTAGTAAAAAAATCAATTACTTATTCCCTTGAATTTAGATCATTGGAAAGGTATTTTTTTTTTTTTTTTTTTGTCATAATAGTTTGTTTTTGCAATGAATTGGCCTTTTTCTATGTGATCCTGACTGACCCTGAGCCCACGCATTAAGGTGGGTTGGCAATTTAGCATTAAAACCGGAGTAACAACAAGCGCCATTCTTTATATTATTCCATCCATAAGGAATAAACATTCTATATATATGCTTGCTTATGTATATATAGAAAAGTAGGAGACATGGAGAATGTTTAACAACACAACTTTTGCAAGGAGTATATATATTCTAGGTTAAAGTCAAATCGTGTGTTGTGTGTCGGTGAAAGGTTGCCAGAAGGTAGGCGTTGGATCGCTCGGCATTCGAGAGAAGATCCCGCAAACTTTATTCATTGCCTTTCAAATATATATTTATTCTCACACCCACTTTCTTCTATTTTATCTATCGAACAAGTGTTTCCTAAACGTTTATTCACCTCATTCATAGAGAAAAAAAAACAGCACAACTTTCAATTCTAAATCTATTTTTTATCTCCTCTGCAAAATTTATTGCAAAAAAAAATATTTCGTGTCATTTGTTTTTAAATCGTAAATTGATTTGAATAAATTTAGCTTTCGAAAAAAAAAATTTCAAAATTATTGAAATTCCTGATTGAAATTTATTTTAAATTGCTCTCAAGGTTTTTTTTTTTTTTTTTTTTTTTTAAAGGAAAAAATTCGATTTCAATTGAGAAGTTCTTGGTTCATTGAGAGAGTATAGCCTTCCCTCTAATTACAGTGTATAGAAGTTGAACCTCGCGTTTCGCAGAGGTAAACAGATCTTCGGTTCGGCACGTTTCAAGAGAATCGAAAGATTTCGCAATTTCTTTCGCTCTTTTTTTTTCGTGAATATATACAATTCATTAGAAAATTCACATATATTGTTAATCATTTCTTTTCAAGGTTTAAATTGCGCAAAAAATCATCAGATTTTTTTTCCCCCCGTTCATTTTAAACTAAAAAAAAAAAATTATATACTAATGAATGTTAATTTTTTTTTTTGCAGGTATGCGTGAAATTCTTGGCAATATCCAACAATTGGAGTGGCGTGATACGTTTTGGATTCACGAGCAACGATCCCATTAATCTTCGTAATGCATTGCCAAAATATGCTTGTCCTGATTTGACAAATAAACCTGGATATTGGGCAAAAGCATTGGCCGAAAGATTTGCCGAGAGAGATTCTGTATTATTTTATTATGTAACATCGGCTGGCGATGTTCATTTTGGTGTGAATGGCGAGGAAAAAGGCGTATTCTTTAGTGGCGTTGAAACAAGAGGACCATTGTGGGCAATAATTGATGTCTATGGAAATAGTACGGAAATTGAATTTGTCGATCCAAATCGTCAACATTTTAATAATATTAAAAAAGGCGCTGAACACAGCAATGAAGATAATGCACAGCACAGTAGGCACTCGGCAATGGACGACGTCAGCAATAGTCGTCGCGACGTCGAAAGAATCATTGTACCGTCCATGCAGAACGTGTCCATCCATTCTCATGATCTCGATGTCGATCTACCTGGCCTGAGGTTTCAACCTTCCGGCGTTCTCTTCACTCCACTACCATTCCATCCGTAAGTATTTTCTTGTACAATTTACTCGCCACTTTTCGCCGTAGGTCGGTTGGCTCTTCTCTCTTTATTTTCCTTTTTATTCTTCCTTCGCGTGTCGAGGTTGGCAAAAGGTCTCCGCTCGTTTTCTCGAATGCCCTCGGGAACGATTTGTTATTAGAACTTCCATCGCGATTCAAAGCGCATAGAAAGAAAAGCTAAATTCTTCACTGGAAAGTCTAGTTCAATGGACTCAAAGAAATTTCACTTTACTATAAAATCATTTTTTGTTTCCTTTTCTTATTTACAGATAAATATTGAATAATAATAATTGATAGACTTTGCTCTTTGTCGTTTGCATCGAAGAAAACAATTATCGATAACAAAATTGGACTTTATCTAGAAAACAGTTTCAAAACAAATTACTCATTTGTTCTAATTTAATAATAAAAATATTTCATTAAATAATAAATATTAATTAATTCTTTTTTTCAGAACCCGAGGTAGAAATATTCATTTCACGAATCAACAATGCGTGGCAACGAGAGACGATGCAGAATTCTGTCACGGTTACGCATTCACGAGTCGACCACTCTTTTTAGGCGAGAGATTGGTTGTTCAAATTCTTGCCACCGAACCAATGTATGTCGGTGCACTTGCTCTTGGTTTCACATCATGTGATCCATCACGACTTACATATGCCGATCTACCAGACGACAGTGATCTTCTTCTCGATCGACCTGAATATTGGGTTGTCTCCAAAGACGTCGCCTCAAGTCCTCAACCAGGTGATGAAATTGCATTCACCGTGACTCATTTCGGTGAGGTACAAATGAGCAAAAATGGCGGACCACCAAACGTTGTGATGCACGTTGATCAAAGTCTTCAACTCTGGGCGTTTGTCGACGTTTACGGCAGTACACAACGTGTTAGGATGCTTGCCAGTCGACCAAATTCACCACCAAGAACACGACAGTGTATTCCATCGCCTGGTGCTCCACAGCAACAGCAACAACAACAGCAGCAATCAAATCACAGTAATGCATCCACCGAATTATCGAGATTCTCCGAAATGGTACAATTTAAACCCGCTGTTGGCGGTGGAACTGTTTTGGTTGTTAATCTCCCACCTCAGGGCAATTATCCAGCTTCACAAACACCACAACCGATTTATTCATCCTCGTCATCCTCTTCATCGCATAGAAATCCTCCAACGCAAACTGCTCCCGTCTCACATCCAGGATCATCGAGACAATCGTCACCACCTCTAACTGGTACAATGACATCAACTGGTTCATCGACTTACGTTGATCCCGTCTCCTATCAGAGTCTCGATGGTACATTGTCTTCATCACATTTACAACAATGGAGCGAGGGTCTTCAACCAACGCCAGGACAACCAAGCGAATGTTCAATTTGTTATGAACGCAATATCGATAGCGTTCTCTACATGTGCGGTCACATGTGCATGTGTTATACCTGCGCGATACAACAATGGCGAGGTAAAGGTGGCGGTCACTGTCCCTTATGTCGAGCACCAATCAGAGACGTTATTCGAATATACAGATCCTGAACCGAGTTCAAAACAAAACAATCCAGGTGTCGAGGTCCCGTTCCATTGTCCCTTTCATTAGGAACCTCATGGTCCACCTAGTCTTTTTTTTCTCTTAACAAACTGAAATCTTCTTTTGTTTTTTCGAATTTTAATATTTTTAACGAAAAGAAGAAACTTTTTTTTTTTTTTTTGAATGAAAAAACTGGAAAAAAGATTTCAAATTGTAAGAGTTAGGAGGAGAGATACAAGAATGACGAGCGTTATTTAATTATCGGGAAGAATTATTGCGTCAGTGTTTTTAACACTTTGTCAATTAAATCGTAAATATTTCCCCTGGCGTTTAAAATTGAAGCGCATTTACAACACTGCCGACGATTAAACTGACGCGATGAATTTTGAAAAAGCCTGTTAAACTTGAATCGGGGGGTAAAGATCGATTTGTAGGATTTATGGACATTAGAAAAAAAACTAACTACTACTAACTACTTGTTATTAAACTATTACTGTTGCTTCTACATTAGATCGCTCTCTGATTTTTTTTTCCTATCTATCTATATATGTATAATATATCACCTATTGCGCTTCGACTTGTCAATGTATCTTATTTAATTTAAACGCAGTGTGATGAAAAAAAAAAACCGGGGACGTTTCAGGTTTAAGGGCATTTATTCTTTCCAAGTAGAATTATTATTATCGCTCCAGTCTTTCCTCTTTTTTTTTCCTGAGATTAGAAATCTTAGTGATAAAAACTTCACGATTTTTTTCCCTATTTACAATTTAATTGGAAAAAAGGAAATTCAATTGACAAATTTCATTGAAAAAAATGGAAAACTAAAAAAAATCGATGAATTTTTTTTTATCACTGGACCTTAGAAAAGCGTCGCCCTGCCCATGATTTATTGCCAAAGAAATCCTCTGTGTGCGACTGATACTTTTTTTTTTTGAGAGAGAGAAAGCGCACAGAGGATTCATGACTTTGAGTGATTCCCCATTGAGACTATTTTAATCGTTAGAGGACTCGAAAAAAAAATAACTGTATACTTTTACTGCCGATTGTGCTTATATGGCGAGCGCAATAGATTAATTAACGAAAGATGTGTATCGATAAAAAAAAAATCCCTCCACTCACATTCGAATATTTAGAGGGGGGAAAAAAATATCTTTTCATGAAAATCAAAATTTGAAAAAATTAATCAAATTTTCTCAATATGAGAAAATTGAATTTTTTTTATTCAAATGAGAGTGGATCGATAATCAATTTAAAGGCGCCTGAATGTTTTTGTATAGAATTGCGATTGTGGAAATGATCTTCCATTAAATTATTAAGCAAACGTAATATTTGATACAACGCTTTTTTGACTACTACTACTACTATTACTACTATATCAAATTACGTTTTAAGTGAAACGCAAGTTTTTATACAATCGTTTTTTATATAATCGTGACAGTGAAGTATTTTTGTGTGTACAGTAAGCGAAAAAAAAACGAAAAAAAAACAAAAAAAATAGAGATCCTCGAGTTGCTACGAGCAAAATTTCGATGGATAGTTCATTCATATCCCTCGAATTTTGCTCACTTCGAGAGAAAAAGAGATCTTCTTTCCTATACAAAGCTGTATTATTTTCCTATGCAAGAAACAAAAAAATAAAAAGAGTACATTTTATATAATTCTAGGCCGTGCCTTATGTATCGGTATAAATAATATTAAAAAAAACACACAGTATCACTGGAATTGATATCCGTTAAAAGGCACTTTTTTTCTCGAACACTTTTTCAAGAAAAAAAAAATATAAAATAAAGGAAGGAAGGGATCGGTAGCAATAAATAAAAAACCGAGGCATTTCACTCTAAACGATACTTGTAAAAATCTTTGTTGTTAAAAAGAAAAAAAAAAAATGAAAAACTAGTTTGCCAGTAGGTTTCACAGCTTTTTTTTCAGTTGACAATATTAATCGTCGTCTTTGGGGCGCTGAAAGTAAAATGTAAAAAATTGATATAATAATCAAAACAGAAAAAAATTCTTTGTATTGGGACGCTTGATTGTAAAAAAAAAAAATTATTTATATTCGGACTGTAAAGGGAGAAAGTTAACAAGCATAATAATTTAAAAAAAAAAATTGTATTTAAATTAATATCCTTTTTGAAAGAAAGGGATTTTTTTGATTAAAAGTCTGATTCACGTTCGGCATTTCGAATCGAACTTGAAAGAAAACAATTTTTTTTCCCTGGATAAGAAAGTTTTTGACCGACAAAAAAAAAAACTCGAAACGCGTTTGATTTTATAATTGCAAACGAAATTTGTCTTCGAGTATATAATGCGGTTCTTTCTTGGAAAATAGTAAATGAAAAATTATGCGCAATAAAGCAGTAGTGAAATCTCTAGTCCAGCGAGCGGTAGTCAATTATGTCTGCCAATCAAAAAAAAAAACAAAAAAACAAAAAAAAAATAAATAAAAAAGTAAATAAATGATAGAGAAGAGAAATTTTATAAATATAGAATTAAAAAAAAAATGCAAATTATGGCGTTTTTGTCTCGCCTATTAGGAGATTTAATGATAGTAATAATAATAATTATTATTCTATTATAAGTGTTGAAAGAATTAAAGGCAAAGAATTTGTAAAACTAATTTTTAAATATGTAAAACGAGAGTAAATGAGATGTTGTGAATGAAAAAAAAAAAATTAATAATAGTAAAAATGTGGTAGGTGAAAATTAACAAAATACGATAGACATCTCTTTTTTTTCTTCCTTTTTTTTATGTTGTAACATCGTATAAATATCGCCATTATTATTGTAATATTATCATCATCATTATAGTATAGTAATGGTTATCATGCGATTAATACAAAATAAAATTAGATAAATGGAATGTCTTGAATAAAAATTGTCTCTTTTTTTTCTCGTCAAAATGGATTTATCGTGAAATGGATTTTCATATATATATATGTGTTTGTTTTTATTGCGATATTTCCTTATTTAATGAGATTTTTTTTTTTTTATGAATTTGCAATTTTTGTCTTTTCGCAATGGTATCACGTTATTTTGTGTTGTGCGATTTGATATTGTAATTTATTCATTATTTGAATCTCAATTTTTTTTCCTTTTTTTTTTGTGTACAATGTTTATATATATATTTTTTTTTTTGACAGCTTTTTATGGTCAATGTGCGATAGGGTATTTCTCTTGAATTATAAATAAATATATATATATATATATATATAAATATAAATATATACAGATACTGATAAAAATTTATACATATGTAATATAAATTTGTTCAGCCTTTGTGCTGTTCTATATAATATAAGAAGCCTGTATTATCTCTGAACAAATGACTTTTTATTTATATTTTCTACCCTTTTTTTGATTATGTAATTATTATTCAATTTTATTGAAATATTTATTTTCGAATAATAAATAATTTAGTGATAAAAAATTAAAATTATACATTTTAAATTAAGATTCGATTTTTCATTTTTTAAATATTTGAATTTTATGATATTTTTTTGAAATAATAATAATTTGTGTCATTTTTGGAAATATTTATTAAAGAAGAAAAATTGAGGAATACAATATATAATGAAAGACGTGTACGATGGTAAATTGCTGCAGCAGCTGTAGTTTATGAGACGTTCATGCCAAGAGTTTACAATGGGCGACTACTTGTGTACCCTTTACCACCCCCTTTGACAGAGTTGCAAGTTGGAGGTGTATTTGGAAGTTGAGTAGCATACGAATGCCCTTGGCAATGAGGTATAACGTGCACTTCTTTGGAATAATAATAATATTTGTTACAACACCTGCATTACAAGTGTATATTATCTTTTACTCAAAAATAATGAGAAATTTTGAAATTTATTTTTTCACCTATATAAAACTTTTTTATTTTATTTCTCTTTAAAATAATTAATTTTTATCTACATTCTTGTTATTTAAAAAAAATATTTATCATTTGGAAATATGTACAAAATGATAAATATTGTTTTTTAATTTTATTATCAGTAGTATAAGTCAGACAAGAAATTTTCAACGATTTTTGTTGATTTTTTTAATTTTAAGTAGTAAAATTGATTTTAGTCAGACAAAGGTCTTTTCTATTTTTGTCAAATATGAATGAATGTTGTAAATAACAGTTTACATCATTAGGAATTTTTGCAAAGGTAAATAAGTTGTAAAAGTCAAATAAAGCCAGACAAGATAAAAATACAAGTTGGTGTAAATTTTTCAATAGATAAAGTCACATTTATTAAGGCTTTTCAAATTAATTTTATTTTTGTGCATCAGTAGTTATGGTCTGTATTAGACGGACATATTATTATGTTTTGTTATAATTACTATTAAATTAAAAATAATATTTTCCTAATCATAGAAAGTACTACCACTGAATTGCAAATTAAATTAACGAAATTTGTTTTCAACATTTAGTATCAGTAGTAAAAATCAATTTTAGTCAGACAAGAAGTTATAACTTCCATTGAAATTGGTTTCAGTAGTAAAAGTCAATTTTAGTCAAACAAAACTTTTTGAATAGTACGATTACTTTCAGTAGTAGAGCTACATTTAAGTCAGACTAAATTTTTTTCGACTTCTGGTTTAATAGAACATTCTTTCCAAAAAAAAATGAAATAAAATTGATTATTCTTATTCTATTGCAATTTAGGTTCAATTAGTAGGTTTTTTTAAAGGTAATACGTGTTGATTTAAGGTAAAAAAATAATACAGACATGCTGTTTAATTTTATTTAATTTTATAAGGGATTTTTGCATTTTCCAGGAAAACATTCTATCTAAAAAAATCGAAAAAAATTGATTATTCTCATTCCATTGCAATTTAGGTTCAATTGGTAGGTTTTTTGAAGGTAATACGTGTTGTTTAAGGGTAAAAAAATAATGGAAACATGCTGATTAATTTTATTTTACTTTCAAAGGGATTTTTTCATTTTCCAGGAAAACATTCTATTAAAAAAAATGGAATAAAGTTGATTATTCTTATTCTTTTTTAAATACAGTTCAAGTGTTATATTTTTTTCAGTAGTAGAGCTTCATTTTAGTCATACAATTTTTCTTTAATTCTTTTAGTTTTGTAAAACGTTTCTGAATTTTGTGTAATTTTATCGAAATCAGTAGTAGAAGCGTATTTTAGTCAGACAAAATGTTGAAAATTAAAAAAAAATGGTAGTCAGACAAAATTTTTATATAAAAAAACTAAAACACCTCTATATGTAAAGTTACACTTGTATTATATATATATATATTTGAGTGAAAACACATTTTCACGAGAACTGAAACCAATTTCCTATACTCAACACAGGAAAACTTTATAATATGAAACTCTCGCTGGCTTTTTCTGGTAATTTTGAAGTTTCGTTCATTACACATAAAGTAAAATGAATGCTAAAATGAGCTTTTTGTGTTCACGTATTTTAGGTCACTGCGTTCGTTGTATTGTGTTTTGAAAAAAAAAAAATAGAAAAACATTTTCTAACCACTTATTGTTCCGCTCATTTTTTTTTATTTTCACAAAAAAATTTAGTGTAACACAACATTTATAATTATTATAAATAATATTCTTTTTTGGTAAATGATAAAAAAATATATTTTTTCTCCAAAACACATTAAATATACATATACGTATATAAATACTAAAAAGACAACAGTATATATAAAAATCATTGTAAAATTGTGTCAATTAAAGAGAAATATAGATTTTCTTTTTAAATGGCACTTGTTACAAAAAGAGTATATATAAAAAAAGGGAAGGGGTTTAGAAAAAAACTTGTACAAAATTGGTAAAAAAAAGAACAGGTAAAATAAAGTGTCAGGTGAAATAAAATGTGGTTTGGACTGTTCGTTCATCTCTATTGCGAAATTGGAGATCCTAGTGAATTGTGACTATCCTTTGAAGTAAATGTCAATTTTTTTTGCAGTATATACACACAGACACACATTCTAAAATTTTTTCACATTTCGTCCTCGCCTTCTTCACCTTCTGTCGAATCCATGCCAACTTCTTCATAGTCCTTTTCTAAAGCTGCCAAATCCTCGCGTGCTTCATTAAATTCCGTTTCATCCATACTCTCTGCCAGATACCTGTATTTATTTATAAAAATATAATATTAATTATATTATATTTTACAAATTATATGTTTTATTATATTTTTGTGTTTGTAATTTATTTATTTACTTGTTATTAATACTTATTATTATTATTAATAATACTTATATACTTATTATTAATTACTTATTAGTTTACTTATTATTAATCAAAATTGCACGATTTTATCAAAAAAAATAAATAAATTTTATATAAATAAATAAAATTTATTTGTTGTTAATTTCTGGATCCATATTGTAATGTAATAACGTATTATAAATGTTATCAGTCCTTTAGCAAACTGTGTTCAATGAGCATAATTCCAGATTAGCATTAGTCTCATTTCATCAACAAGCACTAATGAGCAATTATTTTACACCGAATGGCTATATATATATATATATATTCCGTATATTTGATTTTCTATCACACTTGTATTCTACTTTGATCATGTACAAAATTACGAAATAAATTAATACCATTGAATACAGAAATCGTATATATAAATTAAAATTCAAGTTATCAACTTTATATATTCAAATTTTTAATTTAAAAATTAATTTTTATAAAAAATAGAATTAAATATGTAAAACTTTTTAAAAACAAATTCATTAAGTACATTTTCATAATAAGTGACAGAGAGAGAGAGAATGAGAGATAAAGAGAAAATGTATGATACGATAAAATGAAGTGAAATGTAATTTACCAGTGAACGAATGCTCGTTTCGAGAACATAAGATCAAATTTTCTGTTTAATCGGGTCCAAGCTTCCATGATAGCTGTTGTGTTTGCAAGCATTGCCATTGCTCGTTGGACCCTTGCCAAATCTCCTCCAGGTACAACAGTCGGGGGTTGATAATTAATTCCAACCTGGAATTAGAATACTTTTAAATTCAATTAGGATTTTCAAAAAAATAGAAAAAAAATTGTAGATAACAAAAAACAGCAATTGAAAAAATTTTTACTTTTTTTCAGTAGTGATACACAATTTTACTCAGACAAAACGTTTCTATTTTTATTTATTAAATATCAGTAGTAAAAGTGAATTTTTGTCAGACAAGGCAATGTAATTTTATGATCAGTAGTAAAGGTCTATTTTAGTCAGACGAAACGAGAATTTTTTTAAGTTTACTTGTAGTAGTACAAAAAGTTTAAAAGTTTTATAAAACGTTTCTTAAAATATATATAATTTTCATATAAGTAGTCAAAGTGTTTTTTAGTCAGACAAGACACTTTTGTAATTTTTATATTAGTAGTAGAAGCCGATTTTAGTAGGACAAAACACTACGTATTTTATGAAGCTTAGTTTTAGTAGTAAAGGTACATTTTAGTCAGGCAAATATTTTTTCTCCATTCTTTATGTTTAATGAGACGTTTCATAATATATGAAATTTTAATATAAGTAATAAAAGTTTATTTTAGTTAGCCAGAGGAATTGTGAATTCCAGTAAGATTAGTTTAAGTAGTAAAAACCAATTTTAGTCAAACCAAACGCTGTAAATTGTTTGTAAATTTAATTTAAGTAGTCAAGGTCAATTTTAGTCGGACAAATAATTCTTAATTCTTTGTAATTAAAATCAGTAGTATAACTAAATATCAGATACACACAAGGTTTTTTGAATTAACGTAATCGAAAAATCAGTAGTAGAAGTCGATTTTAGTCAGACAACACGGAGTTATTTTCAGTAAAATTAGTTTCAGTAGTAAAAATAAATTTTAGTCAGACGAAACGTTGTAAATTTCAGTAGTAAAAATAAATTTTATTTAGAAAATACTTAGAGAATTCCAGTGTGTTTAGTTTAAGTAGTAAAACTCTATTTTATTCAGACAATACTTAGTGAATTCCAGTAAGTTTAGTTTAAGTAGTAAAAATCAATTTCAGTCGGACAAAATGAATTCCAGTAAAATTAGTTTCAGTGGTAAAAATCAATTTTAGTCAGACACAACATAAATTCTAGTAAATTCAATTTAAGTAGATAAGGCCAATTTCAGTCAGACAAAACTTTTACAAAAATTAAAAATACTTTCGCCATTTTATGTATATATAAATAAGAAAATGTAATTTCTTTTTCGTAATTAAATAGAAAAAAAAGAAAAGCATAATACCTTAAAACCGGTAGGACACCAATCGACAAATTGTATGGCACGTTTTGTTTTTATTGTCGCTATTGAGGCATTAACATCCTTTGGCACAACATCGCCTCTATAAAGAAGGCAACAAGCCATGTATTTTCCTTTTCTTGGATCACATTTTACCATCTGATTAGCAGTCTCAAAGCACGCCGATGTTAATTCCATGACTGTTAATTGTTCATGATTTGCCTTTTCGCACGAAACAATTGGCGCGTACGTGGCAAGTGGAAAATGAATTCTTGGATAGGGAACCAAATTTGTTTGAAATTCAGTCAAATCAACATTCAATGCACCATCAAATCTATATTGAAAAAAATATATATATTCATTAAAACGAATTTCATTACTTTTTATTGATTTTAAATTTCATTCGTTCAAATAGAAATAATTTTCAAAAAAAATCAAAGAATTTTTTTAGTGACCTTAATGACGCCGTGATTGAAGAGACAATTTGACCGATAAGTCTATTTAAATTTGTATAAGTTGGCCTCTCAATATCCAAATTACGTCGGCAAATATCGTATATTGCTTCATTATCAACGAGAAATGCACAATCAGAATGTTCGAGTGTTGTATGTGTGGTGAGAATTGCATTATATGGCTCAACGACGGCAGTTGATATTTGTGGCGATGGATAAATTGCAAATTCCAATTTTGCCTTTTTTCCATAGTCAACCGAGAGACGTTCCATTAGCAATGATGTCAAACCCGATCCAGTGCCACCGCCAAATGCATGAAAAATGAGAAAACCCTGCAAACCATTACACATGTCGGCAGTTTTTCGTATTCTATCCAATACCAAATCGATCATTTCCTTTCCCAATGTATAATGGCCTCGAGCATAATTATTAGCTGCATCTTCTTTACCCGATATCAATTGTTCAGGATGAAATAATTTATTATATGTTCCCGTTCTTACTTCGTCTTTAAAAGCAAAAAAAATTAATTAAAACTTTTATTTTTTATTTACATGAAAATTTTTTTTTTTTATCTCGAACAGCGATATCTCTAGAATAGCGAAAACTTATCGTTGTTCCAGGTGAAAAATTTTTTTCCATATATTTATATTTTTCTTTTTGAAATTTGAAAATTTATTTATTGTAAAAAAAGAAAAATAGAAAATAATTATTTAATATAGGTATAATAAAATAGAAAATAAAGAATAGAAAAAAATTTAACACTCTTTTGAAAATGTAAATCGAACCAATAACAGTTGGTTCCAAATCGAGAAAAACTGCCCTCGGCACATATTTTCCGCCTGCAGTTTCACTGAAAAATGTTTGAAATCCCTCATCATTTGTGCAAGAATCGGAAGGAAGCATGCCATCCGGTTGAATTCCATGTTCAAGGCAATACAATTCCCAGCATGCATTGCCTATTTGCACACCTCCTTGGCCAATATGAACTGAAAGGACTTCACGCTGTCAATTTCAAAAATTTTCTCATTAACTTCATATATATAGGTCACATTTCAATAATTTACCATTTTTTTTCTACATTTGGAAAAAAAAACCGTATAATGAAGTAAAAATTATTTTCCTTCTTTTGACATAAAAAAAAACCAAAAAATACATGTAAAAATGACATGTCACTTTTGTAAATAATATTTGTGTGTTTTTAATTAGCAAATTAATGATAGAAACAAATTAATTTTTCTTACCATTTTAAAATAGATGTTTTTATTAATTTAAGCAATTTGAGATGAACGAACGATGTTGACACAAAAAAAAAAATTAACACCACACATTGAAAAAAAATGACTAGTACAACATTCTTTTGTTTCCATGGATACAGAAGTTATAATTTTCAAAAATTAAATCTCTATCGTTATTTTTGTTTATTAAAATTTTTTTTGCAAAAATTTTATTGGCTAAATAATAATAATTTAAAATGAAAATTATATAATAATTTTAATAATAACAATATATAATTTATAAATTATATATAAATTTATTATATAATTTAATAGAAGTAAAAAATGTAAAAAGTAGTAAGATAAAAATTTTCTTTTTGCAAAATAGTCGTGGATTTGTAATTAAAAAAATTTTCGCCCCTTAAATTTCTCGACACTGAAGAGTGACGGGTTGCATAAGCTACAGGATTGTGAGAGTGGTTTTTCACTTATCCCAGACAGGCGGCAACACTTTGAACTTTGGTGTATTTTTAAAAAAATATAGAATTGCATTTTATTTTAAATATTAGATTTCAATAATTTGTTAATAGTAAAGTGGAAAATAAATAAATGAAGCTCGTATCTTGAAATTTTCTCGACTACATTCTATATAGATATGTCACTTTTTTAATACTTCTTGCATGTATAAAAGAGACATGGCAAGATAAAGACCATAAGCCCATAAGCCGATGTTCAAACGCATCTAAGCTGGAAAATATCAAAAGATACTATCTTTTCACCCTCATTCTAAAGTTGACGATTACATTTTTTTTTTGTTTTTTTTATTTTTACCTTCTTTTTCTATAAACTAAAGGCGAAAGATTAGAATTTTAATATTTATCGCGTAAAAATCGAAAAAAATAAACTTTAATTATTGGTTTTTTAATTAAAAAAAAAAGTTTCAATAAATATAAATATAAATAATTATTTTTAAAGTGAGATTTAGAAAAACTTTTTCTAAAAAGAATTTTTCAGTAGGTAAAATCATTTTTGCATATAGACAACTCTAATTTTGCAAGTGGAAAAAGTGCAGTATAGTCAGACAATATTTGCAAGTATAGTTAAAACTGTTCTATTAGAAAATTATTAATTTTTTCATTTTAATTAATGAATTATTAAATGATTAATAAATTTTTTGTATGACTAAATAAATAATAATAGATAATACTATTTTTTCAAGTAGAAAAAGTGCAGTATCGTCAGACAATATTTTTGCTATTTAAAATTGTTCTATTATTAAATTAAAAATTACAATTATATATTAAATAATAATATTATAATATAGCTTTAATTGTGTATTATTTAAAAAAAAAAAAACTTTCTCTTTGTCTTTTCAGAAAGCATAAGAGTCTGACGGGTTGCATAAACGCTGGGTGTATTTTAAAAGGGCTGAAATAATTAATATTTCGTGTGAATAAGAATAGTTTCATAATAGATTATAATTAATAATTTTAATATTCTTTTATTATTATTATTATTATTATTATTATTATTATTATTATTATTATTATTATTATTATTATATTCGTCAAGTGGTCTAAAAAAACTAAAAAACAAACTAAAAACTAAAAGTAGTGGATAAACTAAAACTAAAAAAAAACTAAAACTAAAACTATTATTATATTAGTATTAGTATATTAATATTTTTATATTTGTATTATTATATTAATATTATTATATTAGTATTATTATATTAGTATTATTATATTAGTATTACTACATTATTATATTATTTTATTAATAATATAATATTAATATTATATTTTTATTACTATTTTAATACACTAATTAAATGAAATGAATTTTGTTTTTAATTTAATTGAATTTTGCAAATATATATTCTATTTTATTGAAATGAAGTTGAATTAGTTTTCTTTATCATTGAGATCGAGAAGAGATTATTTGCGTCGACAGACATAGTTTAGTAATTTTCGTTTTATGCTCATTGGTAGTTTAAAACTTGTATATACAGCTTTTTGATATCATATCAGGTACTTTGGATCTGTTTGGTACGACACGCCATTTCCGCCCTTTCTCGTTTGTATACGTATATATATGTTCTTTCGTCTTTTTCGCACTGTGCTGTGAAATGGCATTTTAACTTCAAGCCTTCACATGCACTCCTCCAACATTTTCTTTCTCTCATTCTCATTTCTTTTTTTTTTTTTTTTTTTTTCTTTTTTCTCCGCGCATTTTGTGGCAAGTGTAAAGCGTTCATTTTCCTCTTCTACTTATTGTGTTACTTACACCACTTCTTTTTTCTCTCTTTAGAACAGAAAGTCAAAAAAATTTCATTACTTTTTTTGAGAAAAAAAAAAAAAAAATTACAAAAATAAAATAAAAAAAAACAAATAAAATAATTTCGCTAAACGATAATAAAATTGCATTTTTATTACATTGTAAAAAAACAGTTTCAATTGCTTTCATTTTTTTTCGCGAGATATATTCAATTTTTGTCTTTTATTTCTATTTTAAAAACGAACAACGCAAAGATCACGTTCTTTATTTCTCTTTCTCTCTCTCTCATTCTTAAAAAAAAAAAAAAAATCTTATAAAATAATCATCGTATATTCTGTGCTACTAAAAATAACAAGCAAAAGGTTAAAGACTTTTTTTTATGATTTCAAAAATAATCAAACGTCACAATTTTTATTTTTAGTGATCAATTTTCATTTTAATTCATTAACGTGGGAGACGAATTTTTTATATTTATAAATCAATTTATCGAACTGTTCGCAATTAAATATTAACATAGAATTTCTTATATAAATTGGTTTCAATTTAATTTTAATATAATTGTAGCAAATAATTAAAATATTAGAGAACTTTTTTTTTGGGAATAGTATAATAATAAAATTTAAATATAAAAAGAAAAAGATTTATTAAATTTGTGTTTTATTTTAAAATGAGTCTACTATTTTTAAATTTTACTTTATCTGCTTCTTTTTATTCTCAAATCGATGATATGTTCTTTCTCGAGAGTTCCTCGCAGCATTAAGAGCTTTTCTGATTTCGCGGAAGATGTCAAACTGACAAATCACCTATTTGGCAAAAATCGCTGATTCATCAAGTCAGTGAATTATCAATCTTCTTTTAACATAAAATATAGTAGAAGTCGTATTTTACTATCTCTTTTTTTGTAAAACAATTTTTATTCCTATTTACTGTAAATAATTTTGTGAAATTATTTTTATTTTTCATTTATGAAAAAGAGAATTTTTAGTAATGATTTTTCTAATTAAAAATTAGGCAAAAAACAATAATAATAATAAATAATTAATAAATAGTAATAAAAACTAAAATTGCAAATATTAACAAAAAAAAAGTAAAAATAAGACGAAAAGTAAGTAATTTAAAAAAGAAGCTCAAAAATACAAAGAGAGAGAAAAAAAATATAAATAAAAGGGGAAAAATAAAAAAAAATAGTATTTCGCGGTGAGAAATTTTTTCTCGTTCACTTATATATTCGTGGTCGTGATTTTTTATGTCTTTGTGCATCTTTTTGCCTATGCCTATTTAAAAATGAAGAGATGCACATCCAGATTTTCCGATTTTCCGAGCTTTGCTTTCGGGGGAGTTTTAAAAAAAAGGGAAACAAGAAAAGAAAAAAAAGAGAAGTCTTTTGTTAAACTGCAAGCAGGATGTGGGTCAGTAATCATCACCAAGTCTCTTATACTATACTGTCTCTGTTTCCTTCTTCCTCTCTCCTATATACAATATATATATACATATACATATACACCTACACACGAATATTCTACCACGTCCGTTTTGTTTCCACAATTTTTACTCTCTTCTGTTCGCTTCCGCGAATCTTTGGCCACTCTCCTGGTTATTACTTTTCAACGACCCCATTTCTTTTTTTTTTTTTTTTTTTTTGTTTTTTTTCTAACCAAAATCGTGCACTCTCAAGTGTAACCAAAAATGTACCAGATGCTAATTCTTAATACAATGTTGTGGAAATAATTATTCATTTTAAAATATTTGAATTTTTGTCTAAAAAAAATTTTTTTGAATTTTTTTCTCAAATTTTGATGACAAAATTAGTATACAAATTTTTTTCTTGGGAAATTATAGATAAAATTTATTTAATGTACATTTTTGTACAATAATATGAAGATATTATCGCAGAAAAAAATATTTACACATCATCATTAGCTTCTGTAAAAAAAAAAAATCTTTCAAATTTTTTCCCTCATTATCTTGTGTTATATACTAATATTCATCGACAGGTGGTCACAGTCAATTGGAGTGTCGTGAAAAAAAAATATAAAGTAGTTTTGATATTTTTTTTTCTGGATCAAGTTGCGTGATACAGGTTGCAAAACCTTTAAAGTGTGAAATAGCCTTTTTTTATGTATGCTTTTTTTCCACAATATCTTCTAAAAGTAATATCTTCTTTATTATAGAAACCAAAAAGTAATTAAATGAGGCTTTTTTTTTTAAATACTATCAGAAAAATTATATAATTATTTGTACTTATAAAAAGCAAATGAAAAATCAAATGAAAAATCAAATAAAAATTCAAATAAAAATTCAAATAAAAATTCAAATGAAAATTCAAATAAAAAGTAAAGTAAAAAATCAAATAAAAAAATCAATTAAAAAAAGGAGGAATTTTTGAGTATTGTAAATTTTTGTATTTCTGTCGATTTTGATCAAACACCTGTTTTATATACTCGTAAAAAAGACAGCCCTTCTTATAATCGTGCATTAATCAGGTAAAAAAAATTTTTTACATTTTTATCATGTGCATTTATTGTTACATCCAAAAAAAAAAAAAAAAAAAATAGTTGACAGGTCACCTGCTTGAAATATTTTCGATGTTCTCGTTCTTTAGCAATTTATAAGCATCTGTTCTAGGGATGTAGTTCTCTTTTTTTTTATAGAAAAAAGCGCGCCACAGACAGATGGAGTAGCTTAGATTTCGATTTCCGTTTTACTATCATATTCTATATCTATAATTTTTGCGAGCAAATTCTATGTATTTATATTTTAACCATGTAATTAAATAATAAAACATTTATTTTTTTATTTTCGAAAAATCTATTTCTGATTTTTTCGAATTTAATATTTGGTAATTTTTTTTTTATAAAAAATTAGTTAC